GCGAGGGTGTGAGCCGTCGGAGGTTTCTCACTTGCGGAGCTTGAAGCTTTCAAGTCCGAGCTCATTGAGGGAGCGAAGCACGCGTCTCGGGTGAGTTTCTTTCTCTCTCTTCTCTTCATGTGTTCGTGTTTTGTTCATTTGCATACTTTTGTTTATGTTGTAATTATTATGCATTCGATCCGATTTTCGAGTTTTGTTTCCGCGCGGTGTCGGACACCGCAAAACCCAACAGGGGTTACTCGAGTTACTCGATCAGGGGTTACTTGATGGGTTCGGACAGGGGTTACTCGAGGGGTTCACTCGGTCAAGGGTTACTTAAGGGGTTTGGTTAGGGGTTAATCGAGTTACTCGGTCAAGGGTTACTCGAGGAGTTACTCGGACATGGGTTACTCGAGTTACTCGGTTAAGAGTTATTTAAGGAGTTCGGTCAAGGGTTACTCGAGTAATTCAGTCAGGGGTTACTTAAGGAGTTCGGTTAGGGGTTACTCGGTCAAGGGTTACTTGAGGGTTCAGTCAAGGGTTACTTGAGGGGTTACTCAGTCTAGGGTTACTCGAGGGGTTTGGTCATGGATTACTCGAAAGGTTACTCGGTCAGGGGTTACTTAAGGGGTTACTCGATCAAGAGTAACTCAAGTAACCCCTGACCGAGTAACTTGAGTAACCTCGGCAACTCGAGTAACCCCCTGACCGAGTAACTCGAGTAACCCTGGCAAGTCGAGTAACCCCTGATCGAGTAATTCAAGTAACCCCTGCCGCACGGTACAACAGGCCGCATACAAAAATTGTGTAGCCTTAATTATGTGTGTGATTATGATGTTAATAATGACATAATATTTCCTTTCACTTAATTTTTATAATAATGATATATTTTCTATTTTATATGTGAATATAATATGTATTTATATGGGTAATTATCTATATGTTTGAATTCATCTATATAAATAGCACATCAAATACATAAGACTATATTATAAATACAAAAAGGAAACATATAATTTGGTATAATCTTTTATGTTTTGTTAATTTCATATTTCATGATAAGTTTTTCAAAGTATTCAGATTTTATGTTTCATGTGGGACAATCTATTGTACAACTAAGCATTTGCTTGGTTTTTGATTTAGGAAACTCCAAATAAGTAAAAAACTTAGCCTTCAAAATCGATTGACGAATAATGAATTATTTTATATAATGTTTAAATAAATAAATTCAGGAAATATAAGTTTAGAAAATTTAAGTAAAGAAAAAAAGACCTTCCAAATCCTCACAACTACGGTTATGCTCTCTTCACCAAATATTTAGGCTATGTTATTTTACATTTGCTGAATTGGGAATTATTTTGTTCTACTGATTTTATTAAAATTAAATTATTTTTTTACCAATTTTAGAGTGTATAAAATGATTCTCAATTATATTTGGGCCCTATTCTCTTCACCTTATATATTTTGCTAAACTGAAATTATTTTTACTGAACTAAAACTATTTTTACTGAACTAAAACTATTTTTACTGAGATTAAATATTTTTGCCGAACGTAAATAATTTTTTACTAAACTTAAATTATCTATCTTTACTAATTCTCTATTATATATGTTTTTTAATATGATTTATTTTTAATTAATTTTTTAGCATTAACCTTTACTTAACTGAACTTATTTTTGCCGGACTTAATTTATTTTTACTAAAATTAAATATTTTTACTAAACTTAATAAAATTAAATATTTTTACTAAACTTAAAAAATGATTTTTACTAAATAATTTTTCAAATAAGGTGAAGAACACATAACCTAGTTCTTTATAGTTACTAATTAAAACTAATTTTTACTAAACTAAACTTATTTTTTCGAGCTTCAATTATCTATCTTACTGAATAAACTTATTTTTGCTAAACTTAGTTTATTTAGGTTGAATTGAAATTATTTATAATAAACTTAAATTAAATTTTACTAATTAATATTTGAATTATGCGAAGAGAACAAGGCATTAATACACTTAAATTTATTTTTCTAAACCTTAATTAAGCTCTATTCTCTTCACATTAAACAAAAAATATTCAGTAAAAATAATTCAGTTTAGTAAACTAATTTCTATTGAATTAAAATAATTATGAGTAAATATAATTCACGTAAGAAAAAGTAATTTCATTTTAGTATAAATTAAGAAAAAATAATTTCATTTTAGCAAAATTGAGTTATAATTGATCATTAACTTTAAAGAACAAATATAACAAAGAATTAGGCCCTGATCTCTTCACCTTAAAATAAAAAATATTCAGTAAAATAATTTCAGTTTAGTAAAAATGATTTCAGTTTAGTAAAACTAATTCTAGTTCAATAAAAATCAACTTTAAAGAAGAAATATAATAGAGAATTAGTAAAATTAAGAATTTTAATTCTGTAAAACTAATTTTAGTTCAGAAAAAAGAGGGTGAAGAGAATAGGGCCTCAGTGAAAATTAGTTTTAATCAATACAAATAATTTCAGTTTGGTAAAAGTCCAATAAAAATATTTAATATTAGCAAAAATAGTTACAATTCAGTAAAAAAAAATTCTATTAAAAAAAAAATAAAATGACTTATTTTTATTAAAATTATTTTTTTTCCCTAAAACTTATTTTTATTAATTTACTGTTACATTTCTTTCGGAAAATTTAAATTTACTGATTAAAACTTGTTTATACTAAACAACACTTATTTTTGTTAAACTTAACTTATTTTTGTTGAACTCAATTAACTTATTGTAACAAAATAAGTTTGATAGTATGTCAATAGTATGACAAATTAACCTCTTTGAGCACCATTGATTCCCTAATTATTTCATGGCCACTCCTGCTGTGAGATCATGCAAATTAAAGATTTAAAGTAGGCTTTTACCTTCATAATAATCCACTCTACCTCGCTAATCTTGTGGAGAACTTCATATCCGATCCTTATTTGATATATTCAATATATTTAAAACCCAACTCCGACTATAATTGAGAAAATGAAATGATAGCAATACCAACCATCCCTAACATAGCATTAGATAAATTTAGGTCATTGATTGGAATATAGAAAAACTAGTTATGCATTAATTATATTAGATATTTACTTAATCGCATACTAAACACACCTTCCAATAATTAAGAATTAAGAATATTATATACGCTAGAACAAACTCGACCGGAAATCTTATTTAGGACCTAATCTTACAACATGAAACTACGATTTAAATATTGTTAGAGAGGGTATTACGGTTCTAAATCTAAGAAAATTTTAAATTAAGTTTGTGTAACTTTTGCTTAGGGTATATATCGATAGTCTAAAACTAAGAAATCCAAAGCATAGTATGACCGGGCCTCCATAAAAGTTCACCCAATCTAATTGTGCACGCAAACCTAATTCCAATAATTCTTCCATTAAAAACATGGAGGTGCTTTAGAAATAACATCGCTTGTCCAGTCGGGTACGAGCTTAAGTTGTCTTTTTTATTGGGATAATATAAATCTCATGCTTCAACTAAGTACTTCAATCTTGTGGCCAGATCGGTAGGAAAAAAAAATACGTTGGCCACTAAACACACCTCACCTCACCTCACAAGGCAACTTCGCCTAACATGGTGGACAATATTAACATCCAAAATCAACATTTAAGGCTTTCTGAATGAACCAAACCATGCATAATATGATACAACCTCTTATGGTAGTCCTTAGTAGTAGAAAATAATTGAAAATTCAACGAATCCTACATATATACTCAAATAAAAACCAAACCACACTGTAAGAGGAGATTGATAGTAATTACATAGAAGATAACTCCGAGTAGCTCAATCATGCAAACAAATAGATAGGAAATATGGGGTAAATATGTTGTATAAAATGAGTATATCAAGATACTTAACCTTTATAATATAGTTAAATTAATTACATACAAATGTCGAAAGTACTAATAAGAATAAATTGTAACTAATAGTAACAATTGGTAATTAATGAATAATAAATTTTAAGTTACTTCGTATTAATGTTTAGAAAAAAGGAAATTAAACAACGAGTATAAAATAACAATTAAATGTAGTATTATTATACAAGGTGATTCTACTCGCGAATAATCATAATATTAGATTACAAGGTGTAACTTTTGGTTTCAATATAATTAATCGAGCATACCAAATTGTTACTAAACAAAACAAGTTTAGATGATGTTACAATGTAAAACCATCTCTTATAAACAAACAGTGAGATGAATTACACAAATATATCAGTTTATCTCAAAGTAAGGTGTTGTCGAGTTGCCAAAATCGGATTGCTACTTCTATTGAATAGATAATAAAGGATTATTCTATACACAATAACAAATTTGATAGGCCATATTGACCAGTTTTAACTATTAAAAGTTAACTCCACTAAGCCTTTATTTAGCTTTTGATTCTTTTTCATGGTTAACAAGTTCAATTAGGAAAATTATATAACAACTCGATTAATTTCAAGATACGTGTCGAATCTAAGAAACTATACAATTAACCAATAGTGTGAGCTTCTTAATGTCATCGGAATCGTAGCAGCGCATGACATCAGCAGTGATTCAAAGTGATTTGAAGTACCATTTATTTATCACGTTTAACAAAAAGATAATTAATTACTATCTATATATACAAATAATCTATTAAGAAACAAATCCAAAGAACACATGTCGTTTTAAATTTCTCCTATTCCTTTTGAGTAAGAAGAAGCAAGAACGGTTGAAGATCTATAATAATTACTTTTTTCTTCATTCCTTAATGCTTATTCCATTGATATTTTTCTATAGTTTTCATTGTATAAACATTTAGAAACTTAAATTAAATTATCTTTGCTGAATTTTAATCAATTTTGTCGATTATAAAAATTTACTTATTTTTACCTAATTGAATTTTTTTTTTTCCATATATATCAATAAATAATCATGGTAAAAAATCGAATCATAGAACATAATCTACATTTTAGGAAATGGAAAATACACATGAAAATGTTTGATGTCACAATTCTCATCCTCTCTAGTCACTCCTTAATACCGTTAGGTTTTAAAGCAATTTCACTATTTTATATTTAAGTCATTCACAATTTGTCTGTCTTAACAATTTCAGACACTTTCTCCCTCTAAAAAAATACCCTCCTATTTCTTCGAATACTTCCTTCTACCAAATTGAAACCTTGAATTTGAGAATTCTGCAAAACTTTTCCAGAATTTCGAGTTCTGGCTTACTCGCTATTCAGGTGAATTCAATGGTTATCTTAGTTTTCTTTGGAATTCAAATTGAATATCTTTCATTGTTGCAAAAGAAAGCTCAAATTTTTCTAATTTGTTTTTGCAGATTTTTGGTGTTGAGTTGAACCCAGTGAAAATCCTCAGAAATTACGCCATTGGTAATCAATGGGTCGTTCTCGAGCAGTTGTTCCTTGCCCCAGTGATGATGATCCCAACCAAAAGTAACTTAAAATTTTTAAGCTATATTTATTTTATATTCGTTTTTATTTTCTATTACCCTTACTTTTGTTAATGTTGGGTTTACCATTTGTTTGATGAAAGTGTTTGTTTGTTTTTTATTACTGTTTTTGTGATGATTGAATGTTTAGGCCTTGCTTCTTCCATAAATTTGTGTGGGATTTTTTAAATTTTTTATAGTTGGTTTAAGCATTTGCTTGATGAAATTGTGTCCATTTTTTTTGTTATTACTCTGTATGATTATCGAAGGTATTAGACATTTGGTTGATTAAATTGTGTGTGTGTGTGTGTGTGTGTTTTTTTTTAAAAATTGTTATTATGATAGCTGAATGTTTAAGGCATTTGTTTGATTAAATTGTGATTTTCTATTTTATTTTGATAATTGAATGTTTAAGGCATTTTTTTGATTAAATTGTGTGTTTTTCTAATGTGTTTTGATGATTGAATGTTTTTAAAGTTCTGAGTTAAGTGAAAGTTTTTTTTTTCTTTTCTGTTTTTGATTACTTGGTAATTTGGTATATATAAGTGAACTTGCAATTGAAATTGTGAGTGATATAAATACATAAATGATGTTTGGATTGAAGGGTATGTGTAAAATACGTTGTCGTAAATGTCGTTAATGTTTCCTTATAATGTTATTTTTGGAAAATGGAAAAGATAGGATCAGATATAGAAGGTATCATTGTGTTGGGCGCAGTCAAACTTGATTTTTGGGACTTGGCTGGGTTGCCTAATTTGATGACAGGATTGAAAGTAAATAAGTGTGGGAATGTGAAGAAAATGGACAATAGCTTCTACTCATAACTATAGAAAAAATTCGTGGATGCATTGTAATGTTGCTTAAGGTGGTATGACATTTCAAAAGCTTAGTTGTGGCAACAACAGATTTAAACGATTTTCCATTGCTTTCCCTCCCTTTTCTTAGCCATACCCCATACCCAATTGTTATTTAAGAAATAAGGGTCCCTTCCTCTCCCTCTCTTCCTTTTCACTTCAACCCCTTTTATTCAAACAAGCTGTTAATGTCATGTTTAATTTTCTTCCCTTTCTTCGTCATCTAATCACACAATTATTCTTTTAACTGAACATGTATAGAATTTTTTGATAGCTTTGTTGCTTTAATTTTGAAGAGTGATTTTTTATTGCAAGATTTTGTTTACAAACAACTTGCGTTGGAGCAAGATAGCCTGTTCCATATTCGGCAGCTCATTTTCGTCTTTCACTCTTTCATATTGATATTTTTTACATGAGCTTCTAGTTTATACTTTACAGAAGATCTGAGAATTCTCTAACACTAGTATTATTAATCCCATCATTTTAGATTTTTAAGTCTTTTGTTGTGAGTATGCATGTGTGGTACGTGGTATTTAGTTATATGCCATACGCTGTACAGAAATAGGAATATCGGCTGCTTCATGTTGTGAATTTAGTGCTATTGGTGACTGCATGTGTTTGGGACTTTGGATAAATGAATTTCTCTTTTCTTGAACCTAGTTATTATTTTTTTCCCTGAGAGGGTTTAGTTAAAAAAAAATAGCCATCAGAATGTGTTTGGGACTTTGGATAAATGAATTTCTCTTTTCTTGAACCTAGTTTTTTTTTTTTCTTTTTTCCTTGAGAGGGGTTAGTTAGTTAAAAAAATAGTCATCAGAACACCATTAAGAAATTACTCCTAAGTAGAAGAAATATTGGAAATTTGTATTTGGTTGCATTTTGGATTTACTGGAAAGAAACCAATTTTATGGAACTTGGAACATTAATCCATCATAATCGATGGCAAAAAAAAAAACACATGCATTTAGCTCACAATTTTCTAGATAAAAGCCCCGATATCCTGATTCTTGTTTTAGCTGATTCCTTGTTGACTAGCATATCTAGATTTGTAGTTCTCTAATTCTAGAACTCAAAGGCCTTCATTTGCCACACTTATCGTCGCACTATTTGAATTAATTATTACACAATGACTTGGTGAAGATATTAAAGGCAAGTTCGAGCTAGACATGCTGAGTCATGTTTTGGCTTGATTACCCCTCAATTTGAGGTAATGCTGTGATTTGTTAAATAGTCAGATGACCGACAATTCATGTAGCATTGGTTGCCCTTGCATAACAACTCGAAGCCATTGATAATGTAAACAATATTTACTATTAGGGTCATTCGTTGCCCGTGTTTTGAAGGAAAGTGTAGCACAATGCAAGTATCACTAGTCTTTTTGCATAAATAGCGTTGGTAATTAGTAACCTACCTCTCCCCTCCCCCCCCCCCCCACCTTTTTAGGTGAAATTCCATTGAAATATCCTACAAAATTTTCTTGTGTTTTTTCGACTGTTTTGAAACTATACTCTCCTACTTGCTCGTAGTATTTTTTATTGTATCCTTCGTAAACCTTTACTAGTAGTTCGATGTTGAATAAGTACTTGTTTTTGTCTAATTAATGAACATTTTATTACTCAGTATCACTTTTTTCTACTATAGTATTTTTAATTTTTGGACTTTGGACTTGTATCACGGTGAGCAAGTATGTTGGCTTACTTCCAAGGGTGATAGGGGTGGTGGAAAGAAGTTTTATACTTCTTGTTAGTGGTTCATCTTTTGATTTAGGTCAAAGTGCTTTACTTTTCCTAGGATATATGAAGATGGTTAGTAAAGGGTGGTGTTATCACAAAATGTGTTGCCTTACCTTTGTTTAGCCTTTTTTAGCATCATGATTTTCATATTTTATCTTCCCTTTTTTTCAATTATTATTGGAGTATCACATTTGATTTTTTCCATATTGGTTCCCTAATCCTTTCAAAAGGTAATGGAAAGAGAACTTTGTACTTCTTGTTAGTGGTTTATCTTTTGATTTAGGCTTAAGTGCCTTACTTTTCCTAGGATATATGAAGATGTTTAGTAAAAGGTGGTGTTGTGACGAAATGTGTTGCTTTACCTTTGTTTAGCCTGTTCAGCATCATGATTTTCATATCTTATCTTCCCTTTTCTCAATTATTATTGGAGTATCACATTTGTTTTTTTCTATATTGGCTCTCTAATCCTTTTCATATCTTATCTTCCCTTTTCTCAATTATTATTGGAGTATCACATTTGATTTTTTCCATATGGGCTCTCTACATATCTTATCTTCCCTTTTCTCAATTATTATTGGAGTATCACATTTGATTTTTTCTATATTGGCTCTCTAATCCTTTGCATATCTTATCTTCCCTTTTCTCAATTATTATTGGAGTATCACATTTGATTTTTTCCATATGGGCTCTCTACATATCTTATCTTCCCTTTTCTCAATTATTATTGGAGTATCACATTTGATTTTTTCTATATTGGCTCTCTAATCGTTTGCATATCTTATCTTCCCTTTTCTCAATTATTATTGGAGTATCACATTTGATTTTTTCCATATTGGCTCTCTAATCCTTTCAAAGGGTGATGGTCTGATGGAGCCATGGAGGTGGTGGTAAGAGTGTTTTATACTTCTTGTTAATGGTTAATCTTTTGATTTAGGTCCAAGTGCCTTACTTTTCCTAGGGTATATGAAGATGACTAGTTACCTTTGTTTAGCTTTTTCACCATCATGATTTTCATATCTTATATTTCCTTTTCTCTCAATTATTATTGGAGTTGGTATATGAAATCACATTTGATTTTTTCCATATTGGTCTCCTATTCCTTGATTTTTTTCCCATTTGGTTTCAATTATTGATATTTCACCCAATAATTGGTTGGCCTAATTAGGGTTGAGCACAAATATAAGTACTAGTATATTTGCTAGGCGCATCTCTTAGAATAATGACCTTTGAAAAATCATCTTCTCTTTATTCACCCTCAATATTTCATTGTGATAATCCAATGCAAGAAAATAATATGCAGAATCTCCACCACGATGATGGTCCCATTTTAAGGTTTGTTTTTGATATCTATTACACATTAACTTTTTACATGTAATCTTTTTTATTTGATCCTTAGCTCATGTGTTTACTTTCGTGTTATGAGAATTCTTTTCTCTTCATTATGATATCATTCTTTATGAAGAATGGTAAAGTACTTAGCTATTTATAGAGATTTGCAACCTCACTCTCTTTTTCTCTTAGTAGAGAGTGGAGAGGAAGGGATTTGGATTGGAATTAATGATGTTTCTTGACTTCATTAGACCTTGACATGATTGACAAAATTTCAATATGATCTTACAATCAAAATGTGAGTTTCGATCTGTAGTAGAAATTCATGTCTTAATATCTTCAAATTCTACCTAAAATCTAGAGCAATAGGGCCATAATATAATTCCACAATCTTTAGACTATATGATATTGTTTCCAACATGTTAACTAATAAACCGTTTAATTAGTTATATTGCACTTTTATATTTTATATACATGCTGTGTAGTTTTAAATTACATTATCACTCCGTTTCACTTTAATTGGCCACATTAGAAGTCTTCTTAAAAAAAAAAAAATGGCTACGTATACAATAATAACCTTGATAATTTATATGGAGTGGAATTGTTAAGATATAAACATCTAAATTTGACTTTACACATTAAACTCTAACAATAGATACAGTAATATGAGATAATTAATAATTTAATTTACTGTTTCGAAATCGAATCTAGGCCTATTAAAGTGGGCGGAGGGAATGAGATAAGTGCTTTCATATTTAAAATATTAATTAAAATTTTTTTATTATAAAAATTTATTTATTGTAATGACATTGTTTGTTGTTGTCTTTGTGAGACTATTACTACACATCAAAACTTGGCTTGATACCACATGTCACGTGCTGACTATTTGCCTTAGTCTTTTTGCTCGCAACCTACTAGAGTCACCACCCGTTAGACTCTAGTCAAGGCTCCCAAAGTACTTAGCAAGGCTAAGTGATGATGCTTCAAAGTTAAATGTGGAAGGTTTAAAGGCACAAGTAAGAAAGTATTTAAGAAAGAGATTTCTCAAAGGATGCTTTGTATTATGCTTGAGAGAGTTTACAATTGTGTGGATCATAAAAAACCGAGGGGGATGATCCTTATTTATAACCCTCCTTACTACCTAGAGCCTTCCTATCTAGAATGTTCATAACCTCCTCAAATGGAGGATTCTACACACTTAAGTCCTAGAGACTTCTACTCTATTCTAAGTTCATCTCTCTTATGTACAAGAATCTAGAGAACTCTACACACTTCTAGCTCATAGAGTTTGTACAAGATCGCCCTAGAAAGTTTTAGAAGCTTCCGGACGTCAACCAAACCTCTTAGTGCAATCTGGACATTTCCGGGCCCTACCTTGAAAATCCGACTTCACCATGATGTTCATTGCCCCAAAAACGGTGGACCCTCAAATTTGGGCCCATCTTCTATGTTACTTGGACTTAAGAACCCATGTCCGATACGGGTACGTGTCCAAGCGTCCGACTTGGCTAATATGTGAAAAAATTCCATGATTTTGAATTAAAAGTGAAGTGTCCAAGTGTCATACCCATGTGGAGTCCGACACGGATACTTGTGTTGAAATGAAGAGTCTGAGTAACACAGGTTTTCTTAGTTTTAATTGATGTACTATAAGAATGAGGTCTGTACTAATATTTGAAGTGTCATTATGATACTTGTTGCAACTCTGTAGGATCTTATGATCCTAGGTTCGAATTTTAAGCATCCACTTCCACATATCCCGCAAATATTTCCTGAGGGGCAAGGGGGTGGCATGGAGGGCGAGTCTTGGAGGATTAGATAAACATGCCTGGATCTATCTTAATTAAGAGCTTTGAAATTATACGTGCTATCTTTCTTTGATGTGCATTTTGTTTTTAGAATTTTGTAAGGTGGAAAACCTTTCTGGTTTAAAGATATGTAGTACCTTGGGTGAAGAAGTGTACTACTGATGCTGGCTATAATTTAGAACTAATTATGATACTTTTTGGTCAGCATGTAAGAGTTGAACAAGGCCTGTCAGGAATCTATATTATAACTTAACAATTTTTTTTAACTTCTCACCACAACTCTCCAAAACCGCATTCCTTGAATTTGTTACACTTTTTTTTTTTGGAATAACTTCCACCCTCCAAAATTAACAACCCCCTCCCCCCCCTTAAATAACTTCCACTTTTACTTTTTTATTCTCGTGCACTAGCACAGGTACACTCTAGTAGTAAAACTTGTACAAGCATGCAAAAACCTGTCACACTGGTAAAATCTGGCACAGTGGATGACCTAAAACTAGATAGAGAGTTAAATTATTTTCCTTTGGATTTGCTAATCAGTGCAACAGGCGAGGATGAGAGATTTGGAGCTCTAGGGAAGACTGAATATCATGTTGTCTACTAATATTGATTCAGGCTCTTGGAGATTGAGGAAGAAGAGGGGAAAGAAAAAGGGTCAAGAATAATGGTGGATTTAGGGATTAAATTTGTGAGCCCATGTGAAGATAAAACCAGTTCCATGAGCTCATGTAGTATTCAAATATAGAGAAAAGGCAAGTTTGGCAATGTGGAACTAGAAACACTCAATATATTGTAGCAACATTGATGGTGTTATTGGAGAGAAAGAAAATGAGGCCAGTGTGTGCGTGCGTGCGTGCGTGTGTGTGTGTGTGTGCGCGCACGCGCTGTACAGTGCCTTTTTAAGGATAACCTTATTTAATCGCTTCCATCAATTTCAAGCTCGCTACTTCTGTTCTTTTATTGACATGTGATTTTTTTTCATTGCTAGTCTTCCATTTCCTTTATTCTACTTGGATGCCTATCAATTGTACCTGTTCCCTTCATACAAACACTTCTTTATATCCATTATATATTGAGAACTGTGCGCTTATCTCTGGTAGATCAAAGAGGAAAAAGGCTGTCTCAAGTGTAGAGAACACCGAGTCTGTAACGGCAGGTATCAAGATCCTACTTTCTGGCTGCTTGATACCAGAATAATATGTATCATCTCTTCAGGAAAAAAACATATTATTTCTCTTGCTAATCCTCATCCTCCATCATCAGGTCAGGGCTCAAGTGATGGGAAGAAGGCACTCTATCACTGTAATTATTGCAATAAAGATATTTCAGGATTGATTCGCATTAAGTGTGTAGTGTGTCCAGATTTTGACCTCTGTATTGAGTGCTTTTCTGTTGGTGCTGAGGTTAATCCTCACAAAAGCAACCATCCATATAGGGTTATGGTAAAAGATATATTTTTTTTATTATTTATTTTATTTTTGCTTCATATATACTTCGTAGTTTTTATTTTTAAATTTAGCTAGAAATTTATCATTTATTTTATTCTTTTCACTGTAATTATTTTACTTTTACAGGATAGCCTGTCATTCCCTTTAATATGTCCTGATTGGAATGCAGATGAAGAGTCATTGCTCCTAGAGGTAATATTATTACTGAGGTTATTCTATTGCATCAAGTTTTAGAAATACTGTTTTCTTCCCTAAAACTTTTTCTTTTACTATGCTGGTAATATGAATTATATTGTAATTCTTTAATGTGATCTTTGCAATGTGAGAGTTGTCATCTGGTTGCCTCGTTACTAAACATTGCTTCTTCATATGTGCAGGGGATTGAAATGTATGGGCTCGGTAATTGGGCTGAAGTGGCGGAGCATGTAGGAACAAAAAGCAAATCAGAATGTATTGATCACTATGATAATATATACATGAACTCTCCTTGCTTTCCGCTTCCGGTAGTATAACTTTCTTCAACTAAAGTTCTTTCCTTTCTTTAAACATTTGACTACAACCTCAATATTATGTCTTTGTAGGACCTGTCTCATGTTGCTGGAAAGAATAGAGAGGAACTTTTTGCTATGGCCAAGGAACATAGTAACCCTAAAGGTTTGTGATTAATTATTACTTGATGATGTGTGTGTTTTCAGAAATTGTAAATTCAGGATTGAATAGTACTTAAAGGAGATAGGACAAAGCAACTTCTGAAGTAAATAATACGCTATTAAAATTCTGACATATTTTGGGAGTACTGAAAGTTTTTATCCTTTTTTGTGTTGTTCTTTTCGAAGTTTCTTGTGTTAAACATTCTTTGTGTTTGTATTTCTGATAGCTACTGGTCCAGCTCTGAAAGAAGAATTATCAAAAGAAGAGTCTATAAATCCTGCAACAGTAAAGTATGGCCTGTTTCCCTTAAGTTTCTTTAATACCGGCTTTAGGATACTGTCTATCTTCTTACTTTTAATGTCTGTAAAGGATTGAAGAACCGCAGAAAGAGGCTTCAGGTAGCCACTCTTCTCAGGCTGGTATGTAGATCTCAAATTGCTGTTCCTTGTTAATATTTGAATCTTTGCACTGCTTTATATGTATGAGTTTGATTTTAATTTTGCTTCTGGTGTGGATTCTGCAATGATATGGGCAGTTGAGAAGCCAACAAATGTCCTTTCAGTCCAAGATGGGAGTGACGTCATCAAAGTTGAAGGTCTGATTACAGAATAAGTAATATTTATCACTGTTATACTTGACAGTTCTTAGACATGTTCTTTGATATAATTGATTGGTTGTGCAGACTCTCACCTCAACCGGAGTGTTGGAGAAAAGAAACCTAAAGCGTCAGCTGATGAAGGACCTCCAGTTACAGATTTATGCGGGTACAATCCCAAAAGAGAGGAATTTGAGGTAGAATATGATAATGATGCTGAACAATTACTGGCAGATATGGAATTCAAAGACACTGACACAGAAGCTGAACGTGACTTAAAGCTAAAAGTTTTGCGAATCTACAATCGGAGGTTGTCACATATCCCCTTTTTTATTTTATTTTTTGTATGCATTTATCAGTGGTAAAATCATTCTCATCCAAAATTTTGGAATAAGCTGCCTTATTTTGGGAAGTATGAGTATACTTGCAATATATAACCCAAATTTAAGATTTCTTAATGAATGTATGAGGCGCTAGGAATTTGCACATATTTATTATGTGTGCTAAGGCGCTAACAAGGTAAAGGTGTTAAGTGAATGTGTCTGTTTCTAGCATCATTGTAGTCTGTGGCACCCGGTGCTTTCCCTACTTATTTGCTTATAGATGTTCTGTCTGATTGGTTTGCGTACTTATAGAGTTGTAGTTCTTGTCCTCTGGTATGGCTTTTCACGTTTCATCTATGACATTCTTATCATTAAAGTAAGCTGTGATTTTAGTGAAGTCATGGAAGTTTTTATATTGGCTGTTGCCTGATGGCTAGTGCAAACAAAATGTGAATGTAAATGAGTCTGCCTTAGCTGACCTTCCTTGAGCAATCAACTTTACCAAATCACTAAAGCATCCCCGCATTTTTGCCTTTCCCTAGTTTCTCTCACGTCTAGTTAGATAAAGATTATTATTGGTTATATTGAACAGCTTTGTTAGCACTTTTTTCTAGACGTTAAATTTTGTTGTTGATAATCTATTTGAACTAGTACCCAATCAGCATATAACTTATAAGTGGCATGGGTTGATCTTTCATATCAGGCTTGATGAGAGGAAGCGTAGGAAGGATTTTGTACTTGAGAGGAATTTACTGTACCCAGATCCTTTCGAGAAAACTTTGACACCTGAAGAGAAGGAATTATGCCAGCGTTACAGGGCATTCATGCGTTATCACTCAAAGAAAGAGCACGAGGAGCTGTTGACGTCTGTCGTTAATGAACATCGAATTCGCAAAAGATTACAGGATCTACAGGTCAAAGCTAAAATTTTAATTTTTTTCGAAGTTTGAACATATACACATTTATGCTTTATTTAGTGGCCAAACTAAGTAGGCAGATTTAATTTAATTTTATTGGTTCTTGAATGAGTTTCTAGTTTTAGTGAGTCAAAATTCTTTCTGAATATTTTCCAATAAAGGATTTATAGTTGGCTTGTTTCACTGAATTTCTTCACCAAATCATGTCTAAACCTGATAGATTGTAGAAGCTTTGAAACCAGGGAATTTCGCTGAATTAGTTCCTCAAATTTCTCTGTAAATTTTATATCTTGCTGTGGAATTTATAGTAAGATTTGTTCCTTCGCAGGAAGCTAAGGCTGCTGGTTGCCGCACCTCTGCTGAGGCAGATATATACATAGGGAGGCAAAGGAGGATGGAAGCTGAGGAGAATGCCCGCAAACAGAGAGAGAGTATTGAGGCTGGTGCAGGGGGTAAAGTGTTGCTGAGGAGTAATAGAGATTTTGTCAGCAAGGACTCAGCTTCAACGACTACAGGACAGTTTAAGACGAACTCCCTTGACGAGTGGGATATCACTGGGTTCCCAGGGGCTGATCTGCTCTCAGACAAGGTAAGCTCTATTCATAAATTTCCATCTGTCCCAACATACAAGTTTTCAAGTGCTCTTTGATATGCTTCAATATATATAAATTTAGTACGATTTTTCATGCGAACTCTGTTGACTGGTTCAAGGTAGCTTATATATCACTATAGAGAAATAGTTCATAATTTTTGGGAGTTAATCCTGTAACATGTCAACATTTTACTACCTGCTTCAACTCCGAATTCCTCCCACTGCAAAAAGTATGAGAAAAAAAAGAGGCAGGAAACCTTAACAGGAAATACGAAAGTTCAAAAGAATTTATATCTACTCCATAGTATATATTATCTTATGCTCCAATTGGCATATTACTCTATTTTGGTTGTGACATTTTTACTCGTTTGCAGGAGAAAAAGCTTTGTGCGGAGATTAGGATTCTACCTTCACATTATCTTAACATGTCGCAAACTCTGACTATGGAAGCATTCAAGGGGAATATTACCAAGAAATCTGATGCTCATAATTTGTTCAAGGTCGATCCTAGCAAAGTCGATCGAGTGTATGATATGCTTGTGCAGAAGGGAGCTATATCTCAGTGAAGGCCTTGTATGTTCCCATCTTCAGTTTCAAATAAATTTCATTTAATTAAACCACAGAATCACAGTTAATTTTTCGCTGCCTAGGTAGGATAAAGTTTTTAAGGATAGACTATGATGTATGTCAGAATTTTATTTTATATTATATGCGAACCACATTTATTTTTGCAATAACCGTATTTCGAGGGCAATGGTTTTGCCAAAATCAATTTGCTATCTGCTATTTACCATGTTCATATATGGGAAAGTTGAGGTGTAGATTGCCATCACCATTTTATGTGCAAGCATGATTCTATGTGACAAATTACACTAATTTTCTGATAGTATGTTTGTATGATTGATTGATTGTATGTGTAGCTTTGGATGACTTTATATGCTGAGTACCTTCACAATCACATCTCTCCCATAATTTAAAAATCTGACGCACAACGCACAAGCCCCTTTTATACTTGCCTTCTTTTACCCTTTTCCCTTTACCTTTCTTCATAGCACAAGAGGAAAATGCGAGTGTGTGTCAAGTACACCCGGGTGTAGGATAAAAAGTTTATCTTTCTTTCGATAAAGACATCTCATTTGTTTTCTTCATGGTGTCTCATTGGATTATTCACTCTGTAACATCTCCATCATTCACCCTTTGTTTTTGTTCTTTTATTCCATCTCCTTTTCGTGTTTAATCTACCCCCCCCCCACCCCCCACCCCTCCCTATGTACAGGTTTAACATTTGATTAGAAAGAAAGAAAGAACATATAGTAGTATTTAAGGACAATAAAACATTTGAGAGATGAGATGCATGCTGCCGTAATATACTTAGGGGCCATTTGGTTTGCACAGGGTAAACGGAATGGAATGAACAAAGGGAATGAAAGAGAATAAAATGAAACCCTTTACATGTAGTATGCTATTTGTTTTAAAAAAAATAAAGGGAATCACCACCACTACCACACACCCCCTCTTTCTTCACTTTCCCACTTTTCCAGCCACAACCCAGCCATCCCACCACCAAGCCACCACCTCGCCAGAACTCGCCGCCCCTCATCGCACCTCCCCCACCCTTGCCGCCCCTCCCCTCCCCCGAAAATGTCTTCCATTTATACAAGTATATAGTTAAATGGCCCTTCTATTTAACTTTCCTCTTCAACATGTAATAAACTATAAACTCATACATAAATGGCTTTAGTTTTCATCTATTAGGGACATGTTAGCTGAATTTTATTTAAATATTGGCAACTTTTGATAGTGAAAATATAATTTCTACTAATGAACTCTTAACACTACATTTTTTTCCTAAAATTAATTGTTATACAATATGTAGATGTGACACTTTTTAACAATGAATGCACTAGAGCAGGGTTGTTCATAAGTGGTTAGCCGTTCGGAAAAAACGTTTTGGCTGATGTCTTGGTTCGATGTTTGTGTGAATCATAGCCGTATTTAGGGCTGGCAAACCCTGACCCGACACGAAAACCCGACCCGAACCCGACCTGAAGTTACTGAGAGAGACCCGAACCCGACCTGAACCGAACCCGAATAACTCGAATTCGACCCGATTTGACCCAAATTTCATATTTCGTAATAATATTAAGTTTTACACTATTTTTAATAGTTTCTAAGTATAACCCGAAATCGACCCGAAATCTGACCCGAACCCGACCTGCTGACCCGAATTGCCACCCTTAGCCGTATTGTTTAGACCGGTTAACATAAATCAATAATCAATTTGTATTGTTTTGAGAATTATAAATTTTAAACATGATTATGACTAAAAAAGTATGTAATTAACCAAGTAATACATGTGTTGTACTTAGAGATGGGCACCGGGCCGGGCCGGGCCGGGCCACATTTTGGCACACCCCAGCCCACGCCTGCCATGCCGGGCAGCGGGCCGTCACTTATTATTTTTTTTAAAAAAATTGATATATATATATTTTTGAACAACTTGTAAAATAAGTATATTTAAATAATTTTATTAATTTATGTTTATGTTTTTGTATTATTATATTGTTAATGTGCTTTTTATTATTAATTTATTATAGTTCTTTTACTCTTTATTATTTATGTTATTTTTTTTATTATTATACATATTTATTATTATTTAGCAAAAAGTAACAATGCACATAATTTAAAAATTTACGAGTGCGATAACACAAAAATTAATGAATAACTTATTTAATTTTATTATAAGTCGGTACGATAAATTGATAATACAATAATTTATAATGATAAAATCGTACAATAATTGATGACAAAATCGTGTCGGGCCGTGCTTGCGGCCCGTGCTTGTGGGCCGGCCTACGGGCCAAAAGTCGTGCCGCCTACCCGTGTCGTGCCGTGCCGATTTCCAAAAATATTGTTCACGGCCCACGGTTGGGCCACCGTGTCGTGCCGTGCCTAAGGCAGGCTCATGTCGGGCCGTGTTGCCGCCGTGTCGTGCCTGTGCCACTCGCGTGCCGGCATGGCCCATGCCCACCTCTAGACTTGTACTATTCTGAATAAACACTATTTTACTTCAATAATATTTGGACCGGACATAGTGATTTGTTTGGAGCGAGAGGTTAAAAATACAAACCTCTTATGTATTCGGCCAAGATTAGGCACTACCACCATTAAGTTTGTTCTATGGCGAGCGTTTTGAAACGAATCAATGAACGGATTAGAGGAAGTATATAATTTTTGTACATACAGTATACTTTTTATTTTTAAGTGCTATATTGCCTATATGCATGTTTCCATTATAGACTCATTCTATTTGCTTGGCGTTGCTTGGTGCATGCAAATATCATTTTTGATAGGCTAATACCATATCAATTTCTTTCTAAGTGCGGAAAGTAAAATTATTTCTTTTGCCCAACATCTCAAAATTAGACACGTCCTCAAATTATAAATACCTTTTAGTAGTGCATGTATACGATTTATCTACATATTTATTTTCGAGGTAAACTTTATAGTAGTACTAACTATTTATATCAAATTTAATTCCCACCACTAAACCATTATTCTTTGTTGCGCATATTCTTGGTGCTATAAATAATAGTGACACTTTGAGTGCATATTCTATAGTCTTTTATCAATAGTTCACTCTTCTTTTTCAAATTACAAACTACACAATTTCTGAGCTTCAGCAGCAATGTCATCAGTTTCTTCTTTCAAGATTGGTCTTTTCCTTGCGCTATGGCTCCTCGTAATAGCGGGTTCTCTCTCTGATTCCCTTCCTCGTTATAAAATCCTTAATAATTTCTCTTGTCATCGAGATATAGTATTTACATATATATTATTATTATTTCAATCTACACCTATTTTAACGTGATCACAATGAAAACATTATACTTTAATTCATGATACGATTAAACTTTGTTACAATGGTTTTAACGTATAAATGCATGTAGTAGTAGTAAATATATCTGTACTATAAAATGATACCCACTATTTATTATTTTTAATAAATGCAAAAATGAATAATTTCACTTCTCTAGATGACTAGATCTAGATGATTTTCTTTTCACTAAGCTATTATAAATTATGTCTCTACAACTAGTTATTAATGTATCATAAATTGATCTGTGCGTAAGTCTATTATTACATTACATGGTAAAATGATACGAAGTATAAAATATTATTATAGTAAGATGTACCCTAAAAGTTCCCTCAAAAAAAAAAAAATGTACCCTATAAGTTGATAATAAATTAATATAGAAAACTTCTTAATGCTTGTTGTACAAGAAGTGTTGTATTTCATTGGAAAAGATGATTCAAGTTACGTTATTGAGAGGAATTTTACTCGACTATTTAAATCTGTCTTTTTGTCTCGATCATTTTCAGGTGGATTTTGGAGAGCTGAAAGCTCAAGAAGTTTAATATCACCACGTTGTACGAAACCAACAGACTGTATCCCAAATTGCCCTCATTGCATACATGTTTCATGCCTCAGTACTTGGTGCGTTTGTGGCTGCGGCCCTCCATCAACATAATAAATTTAATAAAATCAGCACAATATTATTGTAACAAGCATTTCCCAAATAATAATGATTCAATTTTTCATATCTTCTTATCTCTTTTTTAAGTTTATGGAATCAAATACTATATATGTAGGTGAACAATTGAATCTTTTATTTGAAACTTTTTACATGTGATGTTTGTTATGTAATATAATTATTAGCCCTCCAAATATCAGTGAAGATTGATACTCGTATTTTGCATTTTTTTACTCCTTTTGTCTCTATTTTTCTTTATAACTAGATTATGTTTCAGAAACAAATTAAAAAAGTTACAACAAAAAAAAAACAAAGCGATGAAGGGATATTTTGTTATGTAGCTATGAAACTATGGTGTAAGTCCGTATAGAAAAGAGCTAAGTTTAGAAGAAAGCGAGAAAAACACGTACTTCTTCTGTCCCCTTATTATCTTCACCTTATGCTTTTTTCCCGGTCTATAAAAAGCTCACTACAAAATGAGTATTTATTGAGGTTTTTTTTTAGCAAAGGCAAAGTATAACCGTCAGTAATTTTAGAATTACCTATGATTTAGATAGCCATCGCAAATTACCGACGACTTTAATTAAAATTAAGTTGCTGGTAATATAGTACCGACTCAAAATATCGAAAAAAAAATAATATACAGCTCTTACTAACAAATTAAGTCATCGGTAATAATTTGATATTTAATAATTGTGTGTTAGTAAAAATTATTAAAAAAATTATACATATGTTCAAAATATATGTTTATAAATATAATAAGGTATTGCATGACTTCACAAGAAATAGATAAAGCATTGGGAATTCACGGTCAAATTTGAGAACTTTGGCTCCAAAAACGAAATAGATTAAGCAATATTTACGGACGGCAGGAGTATGTGCTACAGTAATTACTTTTAGTTTTAGTTCATGAAGGAGCAACATAATTATTACTAGAGACACACTATGGCATTAGGTGCAAGTACTAGAGATTATGTCATTTCAATGAGCAACTACATATAAGTCCAACCCAGGGTGTACCATCTGCTGAAAATAACAATATTCTTTGACTTTTAATAAAAAAAAATTATCAAAATAATTCTCTCCTTAATTTAAGGAATTTGTTAGTTATTTTCCATATTAATAGTTTTCAAAATTATATTTGATATTTTTTAAGGGATATAATTACAATTTCGAAATACAAAGAGAATTTTTAGAGAGAGAATTTTTTTAGCAGAGAGAATTAATGGTAGTGTATTTTAAATTTCAACATGATTCCAAAATTGTAGATTTGTGGATAATACATATGAGAATGACGATTTGATAATAATGATGGTGAATTTGAGGATTTCATAATCAATTGAGAAGGTTTTTTTTTTTTTTTGTATTTAAATTTAATTATAGTTATGATGTTGATGATAATGATAATGCTCTTTAAATTATTAAATTTCATAAATTGTGGTTTCCTAATCAAATGAGATAAATTTTTAAAATTAAATTTCATAATTTATGGATTTCGTAATCAAAGAATATTTTTTTATTATTGTTTTTGTATTATTCTATGAGGTTGAAGATGATGTTTTTCTAATTATGATGAATGTTCTTTTATCACTTATACGATCTATATTCATTTTGTTAATTGTAATGAAATATGCTTTTAAGTCTAATTAATTTGTTCTTTAAATCTAAATTATATATTCTTTACATTACAAACAATGTTATTTAAGGTATAATGTTCTTAGAGTTTCAATACTACGAAATATGTTTTTTTTTTCTATTTCAATAATACGTTCTTCTATGTTCATGTTCTTTGTTTTAACTTTATGTTCTTTTGGGTATTCATTTCTAAGGTGTTTTGTTCTTTTTTGTATTCCTAATGTTCTTTGATTTTGGTTCTTATGTTCTTTGATTTTGGTTCTTATGTTCTTTGAGGTATTGAGTGATGCACATTTTCTGTTATAGCACATGTCATTTTAAAATTAGTTTGTAAAGTCATTTTTAATTATTTGTATGTATATTCATCTTGAATATTATTTATTAATTCTATATTAATTAACATTTAATAATTTGTATTTTTTGATTCAGGATCATGAAGATTGATAACGATTTTTCTTTTGCTATGTCTATCTGTAGCAGATATAAAAGACAAATAAAATGAAATCACTTCCTGCCAAAGAATGGTTTCATTAATTCCCTTTCCACCATGCTATCCTCAACTGACAGTCCGTTGAAAATCCATACTAGTCATCTCTTCATAAACTGTACAACACATGATGAAATCTTCATGAAGGTCAGCCTGCCCATAAGCAATGTCCAAGCATTCAAATTTCAGTTTAAGAATAGAATTTCAAAATCATCCTGTGGCACACATTGATCTTCAGTGCACCTATTGCTTTTCTCATATCATCTAAACTGTAATACTCGCTCAAGTCCCCCACATTACAGTCCTTTCCTAATGACAACTTTGCCTATTTTCCTGTCAACACTTTATGACCTGGATACAATGAAATGCGAAGACTATAATTTCAATGTATCCTCATGAAGCATACTAATCTAATAATCTAATAGTCAGTTACGCACACATAGGGCACATGTTGATCTCCCTACAATTCTATTTGGTCGAGTTTAGAACTCCAATAAACCCCAGTCTCTTACTAGACCCAACCAATAGTTTAGACCTCTCCGGATCCAAGACCAATGGTTTTGTTTTTTTTGGGGTAAGCAGTTTTTACAATTGCAACCCCCTGCCTTCCTCAGATGTCAAAAGTTAATAGCAAACATAAGGAGCAACACTTCGGTAGGATAGGAGCATGGTTAGATATGTCAATTGGAAACTAAAGTTACATGTCTACATATACCATTAAAAGGGTTACAACACATAAGTGGACCTGCATACCCAAAAAAAAACTACACTCCACATCAAGTCTAAAACTGACAACCACTTAAGTTAGTTCCAGAAACAGAGACCAAATATCCCTTATAAGCATTCTTAAACCATAAAAAATGATCAAATACCCCAGATTATCACCATGTTCATTTTCCTAGTGCACAAAAGAGCATAGTTACACTGATACAAAACCATTTAAGACATGCCACTGCTGCCTATGAAATCATTCCCAATGAGCAATCGATTGATTCTTTATAATTTATAGCTTGGCAAATGACAACTATTAAACTAAATGGCTTAGCAACTCTGATCCTGCAATGGCAATGGAAGAAAGCCAACCAACTACAATACATTCTGTCCAACGAGGAATTGACTATCATGAATCAGCAAAATTTAATTCCTAAGACAGTTGACAATTGTGGACAGTGAACCAGTCAAATGAAACAACCTTACCATTTGTGTGTAAGTATTCCGCAACTAAAGAACATTTTCTACCTTCTTCACTTGCACTCCTTTTGAAAGTTATTATCTTGCAAATCTTCAATCACATAACTATGCTTTCTTAGTGAGTTTGAAGCAATGTTAGTTACCGGTATAAATCATGTAAACTATTTTGCATACCATGTCATCGAACTCAGGCCTAGCTATAAGCTTTTTCTGGTAAAACCACAACCATCAATAACCAATTGCTCCACTGGATTTATAAATGTTACATGACATGGTTTGAACACTTCCTTATCACCATTGGTTCATCTTCCATATATTCATCATCTCCATAGTAAGCTCGTTCATTGTTTGAATGAAAGGCAAGATAAGCCAACCGAAATTAGTTAAGTTCTAATATTACTAACCACAACTAACTCCTAAGGTTTGACAATTACATATTACTCCCAAACACACATCAAGTCCATTACAAAAAGAATTAGAATAGATGAAAATTGACAAATTCTTTCCTAATCTAGTTTGCTAAACCGCCTTTGTTGTTCTCCCTTGGTCCCTTTCATTTATCTTCTTCATTGAGCATCCCTAATGATTAAACATTGCTTTCAGCATCAAACTGAATCTGATTTTGCAATTTTGCAAAAGCAATCATATGTATAGGAAAAACATATTGATACATATGTTGCACTTCTTCAAGTGGACATTGTACCTATATTATAGAGGAAAAAAATATATATTCTATCGTTACAAATCTATAATTATATAGTCTTAATATTGATAACAATAATTAAATGAAAAGTAAAAATTCCCTTACATTTGTGAGTTGAAAGGCGTGTATATACATGTCTCGTAAACGAGTCAATCCTTGCTCTAATATCAACTGCTCTAATCTCAACTGAGGAGTTACTCCCATTAAATTTGAACGCCGCCAACTAGGATATGTAGTCCGAAATCCTTGAAAAAATTTGTCACATTTTTCCAAAAAGTCATCGTCAGCCTTCATTTGCTCATGTATTAGGATTGCATTTTTTGAATTACTAATAATTACGAAAATTTCTAGTTTTTGGCCTTGACATCTTGTAATTTTCAGCATCCGCAAATGCATCTTGAGCATCAGGATAGATTAAACATCGACCACTCTCCAAAGCATCATACAACTTAATGATATACTCAATTCTCATTCTATCATTCCAAAAAATCACATTTCTGAAAACCATATTAGCGTCTCTAGCTGTAAATAAACAAAAAGACAAATTAAATCAACTAGACTTAGAATCAAAATCAAGTGTATATAAATGTCATTCAACAGTTATAGCTTTGTTTAACAATTTTAGCTTTGTTTAATTATGAAATTGTTTTAATTCATACAGCTTTTGAGTAATCGGAACCGTGATAATGAGTTCATTATTAGATAATGATCTCCAATACTAGTGCAAATTTAGCATTTTTTATTAGTGAATTCAAATCAACATAAAAACAAATTATATTAAAATTATTTATAAATTAACAAATTACGTGAAAATATATATATATATATATATATATATATATATAGGGTTGGGATCCGGTGAAAACCACCCTTTATGTGAGGACAAATCTCAGCTGATAGATTAGATGAAATCCAACAGCTTAAATTATAACTCAAAGCCTGCCTAACTAACAAATTTTGAAATCCACACCTTATATTGCCCTATGCTTTTGAAAAATTTGGACAACTCACTTGCTTCAAACATCCAATCATGATGTGCTTCTAAAAAAACAAATTAAAAATGAATGAAAAAATAAATCAATCTCATATTATATTGTTGAATCTAAAAGAAAGAAAGATGTACTAATATGTACCTCTTTTTTCATAATGAGTGAAAACAACTTTATTGTCTGCATTAATGTACATGTGCTGATAATCTACTATTGGCCTAAAAGCTTTGTCCTTGAATGTTACAACATTCTTGACAATACTTAACATAAGTTTTTTAAAACTCACACAAGCATACAAACGCGTATTGAAGGTAATGAAGGATTTGTTCGCCAAACTGAAGTCTGTGCGAACGTTCAGTGTTGGAAATAAACAAAGTTGCATCAAATTCTGAAATTGGTTTGCTATCAACTACCTTAACCATTACTATATCCGGGTTGTTAGAACTCTCAAAAGTAAATGGAAAAAGAATAGTAGGAAACCACTCATTGCTCTCCATTCCTCTCAAACAATGATTGAGAGACTCCATTGATTCCCATTCAGTTAATCTTATTTGCTTGTATTGCAGTACATTATCACCACGACTAATGAAAATTCTATCTTCGGCGACTTGTTCTCTGTAATCATCGGGAAAATCCATAACCTAAATAGTGCATACAATTTTATTACTATCTCCAATCAATACATTTCAAATCAAGAAAAAAACAATGATAAATTTATAAAACTTCGACAGGGTGACCCTATTTCTCCGTACTTATTCCTGTTATGTGCAGATGCTTTTCGACTTTGATTACTAAGGCTGCTAATGGTAATCTCATCCATGGGGATAGGATTTGCAGGAGTGCTCCCAGAGTGTCTCATCTGTTTTTAGCCGATGACAGTATTCTTTTTGCCAAAGACAGTACGCTAGAATGCTCGACTATAGCTAACATTATTAGCATATATGAAAGAGCTTCGAGTCAGAATGTCAACTTAAGCAAGACTGAGGTGTTCTTTAGCAAAAAGGTATGCTCTAGTCGAAGGCAGGAAATTATTGATATTTTGGGTGTCCGTGAGGTTGAAAGACATGAGAAGTACCTTAGATTGCCGACTATTATTGGGAGATCGAAAAAAGCAATATTTGTAGGTTTGAAGGAAAGATTATTAAAAAAATTGCAATGATGGAAGGAAAACTTCTATCTACTCCAGGCAAGGAAGTGCTTATTAAGGTTGTGGCTCAAGCAATACCAACGTATATGATGAGTATCTTTAAGCTCCCTGATGGCCTTATAGAAGTGATTCATGCAATGCTAGCTCGATTTTGGTGGGGGTCCACGGATACTGCTAATAAGCTACATTGGCAACGGTGGGAGCTTCTATGCTGGCCTAAAGCTGAAGGTGGAATGGGGTTCCGGGATGTGAAAGTTTTTTATCAAGCCCTCCTTGCTAAGCAGACTTGGCGCTTGCATCATAACCCGGGTACGTTTATTCACTCTGTATTGAAGGCAAAATATTTCAAGAATTGTGATGTGCTTGCGGCTAGTAGGGGTTACAATCCGAGCTACGTTTGGAGGAGTATGTGGGGTGCTAGAGAATTGCTTCTGGAGGGTCTCAAATGGAGAGTGGAAATGGTAGTGAGATAAGTGTATGGAGTGATGCTTGGCTGCCTGGGAAAACATCGACGCTTGTCCCGACCCCGATGGCTAATAGTGATATGGAGTTACGTGTAATTGATTTGATTGATCATGCCTCTAATACTTGGGATACTAATGTCATTTCTAATAACTTCAATGAAGCGGAGATGGCATTGATTCTCACCATCCCTTTATCTCCAAGTAGACCGAAAGATAGAATGTTTTGGTGGCCGTCAAAGGATGGTGCCTATAGCGTCAAATCGGGTTACTGGCTTGGTAAGAAAGCAAACTCAGCACCTCAAGTGGATATGGATGCAGTCTAGAAATTAATATGGTCCCTTATAGGCCCACCGAAGCTAAAGCACTTTCTTTGGAGAGCCTGTAAAGGTTTTCTTGCGGTAGAAGAGCGCCTTGTCTATTGCCATATTGCTTCTGATAAGGTATGTTCAATTTGCAGTGCTATGGAGGAAACGATTATGCATACCTGTTTTGATTGCACAGCAGCTACCAAAATTTGGGACGTGAGTTCGTTCACTCAAAAATTACAGCAGGCCCCTTCGTCCAGTTTTCTGGAACGATTTTTGTGGCTCTCGGAAAATGTCTCACGTGATGACCTTGTGACCATGGCTACTCTGGCTTGGGCTACGTGGTACTGCAGGAACAAGGTGATTTTTTATCAAGGCTCGTTCAATGCAGTGGAGGTAGCTAAGGGTTTTATGAATTTAGTGCGTGAATGCAATGTGTATGCTGGTAAAGTACTTAATAGACCATGTCATGTGGGCTGCCCATCTGCAGGTTCATGGAGCTGCCCAAACCAGGGGTGCGTTAAGGTGAACTGTGACGCACACTTGGGGGTTAAAACCGGGCTGGGAGTAGTTATCAGAGATGAACATGGTGCTGTAATTGCTGCTGCTGTGCGAGTTGAAAATGCGGGATGGGATGTCGATTGTGCTGAAGCCGCTGCTTGTTGCTTTGGTTTGAGAGTGGCTGGACGTTTGGGGTTTGCTCATGTCCAATTGGAAAGTGATGCCATTAACGTGGTGAGGTCTCTCAAGGGCAAAGTTAAAGGATTTTCTCCTGTCTTCCTTCTGTATGATGACATTATTAGTCTTTCTTCCAATTTTAGTTCTTTTGTTTTTTCTAATGTTAAGCGGTCAGGTAATACCCTATCTCATAGTGTGGCAAGGTGGAATGCTAGGGGTTGTGATGAATTTGTATCTCTCGGTCCTTTTCCACAAAGTTTATCAACTTTGGCAGAAATTGATCTTCTTTAATTACTGAAATCCACTGCTTACTTTCAAAAAAAAAAATATGCAACTTCCCAAAAAAAAAATAGTTTAATTTAAAAAAAAAAAAGGAAGTATTTGTCATTTAAAGCTAAGGTAGTAAGGTGTGAACTCGATCCATATCATAATGTTATATTATCTACATTTGGTTGTTTTCCTCAAACTAAGTTTTTTTCTAGTCTTATGAAAGTCTACTCTTTCCTTATTTTTTTTTCCCGGTTTTAAGGCATTCCTCAATTCTAAAAAAAATATTCTCCCTTCGTGTTTAAATAAATGAAACGTTTTTCTTTGATGGTCGTGTTTAAATAAATAAAACTTTTTTTTAGTACATTCTATGTATTTTTTAATAATATCCCCACAAATACCTTAATTTATTCTCTCTCCTTAAACTTATACCCTACCACCTATTATTTTAATAAATTCAACCAATCTTCCTAAAATTTCATGAAAATCAAAACGTTTCATTTATTTAAACACGGAGGGAATATGAAAACTCGAGATACGCCAGACTGCAATACTTAGGCTATGTTTAGTTCATCTTATTTTTATTCAGATTAAAAAAAAATAAGTTCTGAAATATATGTGTAGTTTCTAGTTTATTAAGGAATACATATCTTTAATTTCGTAATGAAAAAATTATAAAAAATTACAAAATAGTAAAATAACATTTATTAGATATCCAACAAGACCATATTTGATATTTTTTCCCAATAGGTTAGCGTAAATGCAATATCAAAATTTAGTCAAATCAGATAATTAGATCAAATTAAAAAAAAAGTTCAGATCAGATTAGATAAGAAAAAAATAAGGTGAACCAAATATAGGCTTAATCTACATCAATTCACAACTAATGAACTAAATAGGAGTTCGTCGAAATTAGGGGCGGATCTACATTGGTGCATAGTGGTGCACGTGACTTAGCATTTAAAAAAAAAACGGAAAACACGTGAAGCGACGAAGCAAACCACTGAGTCACTGACTTTTCTTAGACTCCATTGCATGACTTTGCGATTTTTTCTTGGACTCTATTGAAATACAGAGAGGGTAAAGAAAAGAGAAGGAGAGAGAGAGTGGCACGAAGGAGAGAGAGAGTGGCACGGAGAAGAAAGAGAAAGGGTAGCTGGTATTAGCAGTCGTGATAGTTGATATATTGAGTGGGGTGTGAGATGTCAGGAAGGTGGGGGTAAGGGAAGTTGGTATAAGTGTCGTTTTATATACCATTAGTTTTTTCTTTTGTCCTTTTCACTACTACTAACCAGTTGTATTTTTTACAGTCAAACTAATAGTATTTAAAGTTAAAAAATAAACTTTTTACTATAAGAAAATGAAAAAGAATTTAATTTCTAAAATTCACGAATAATTATATTAATAAATATATAAAATTATAAAACTAAAATTTGGTTACCATATCCGCGATAACCGCATTCCGTTACATAACACCGTAACCATTATAGCGATCGCGATCGAAACCGTGCCCGACACCGCATTTACGTACCATGGTCTTTATCTATCTGGGGTTTTCTTGATTGGTCGTAATTTGGATTTTTGGGTCATTCTTGATTGATGGAAAAAAAATTAGGGTTTCTATCGAATTTTGGTTTTCACCTAAATTGGTAGGAGATTTGAGATGCTATGTTGTTGAAATTAATTGAGATTTTTGATTGAATTTTGGGTACAATTAGGGAGTTAGAGTAGGATTTATAATTTTTCCCAATTGGTGTTTATTTGAGAAATGATGGTTGATCGAACGGAAGATTTGATGAATTTGGACTTAATTTAGGACCTAGGTCTCCCCCGTCACCCGTGATAGGCCTGGGAACGGAGCCGTCATCAGGCGAATCGGAAAACATTGTTGGGTGGGAATCACCTTATTATGTTAGTGAGGCTCTTAGGCAGAGAAATAGGCAACGGTGGCGTTGGATCAATAATTCAGGGTGACTCACAGGCTCAGAAATCCTAGGCAAATCGAAAAATGTTGTTAGGAGGAAATCACCTTATTATGTTAGTGAGGCTTTTAGGCAGAGAAGTAGGCATCGGTGGCGTAGGATCAATAATTCAGTGTGACTCACAGGCTCGAAAATCCTGGATATGCCACTGGTCAAAATGGTGCCCTTTAACGTCCTTTGGTCTTCAAGTGGTGCACTTTACCTTGGCTACGTTCTTGCTCGCCTTTGGGTTTTCGACCCAACACAATGCTCCAGTCGATTTGAGCATAATATATGGAGTTACATTTCTTCTCCTTCAGTCTGCATATTTATGTAGCAAAAGCTTACATATGAAATAAAAAGAAACTTAAATGGGAAAGGCGTATAGTCCAATAATTGAACGATTAGGAGACACAATTAGGTGTCTATACTTTCCCTTCAAAAATGATGTACAACGATAACAAAAATATAGAAAATCAGAATAAAAGGCAATATCCCAAAAGGAAAAATTTTCCATCATAACATATCAATCAAATAATAATTTCAGTGTTTTTACATACCTATCTATAATTTACATCATTACATGTCTATACATTTCTATGGTCTTATAAAATCTAATATACAACATTCAAAGAATTTCCAAACACAATTGATCATCTCTTCTACATGCTCCTACACTCAACAATTACATACAAAATTGTTACAGAACAAACTAACCCAGAGAATAAAAAAGGACTATGCACTTTATCTATTGGAAGTTTAGATGTTGAAGTCTCATAATAATAAAATACATGTCTTGCCAATTGATGTACATAACTACATAAGACAGCACTGAAAAAAAAACTGCGGTAAAGAAGAAAGACTTCTTCGTAATATACTTATTCTTCATCTTGCTGCCATTGTCTTGGAGAATACAATCAGTGGCATCTTCATGGTTAGAAGCAACAGAAGCTGCAGCATCATCATTATATTTGGAGGAGCCTGCAGCTTCTGCGTTGTAACGGTCTTTATAATTGACAGCAACAGAAACCGCAGCATCATCAACACATTTGGAAGAACCAGCAGTTTCTGCTTCATCATGGTTTGTGCAATTGGCAGCAACAGCATCAAATTTGAAAGAACCTGCAGCTTCATCTGTGTTGTTCTCTTCTGATGGCTCATCTAACTGTGGCAGAAAAAAAGAAGGCATGCTGATATACTCATTAAGGACAGCAAGATACAAACACTTTGGAAATTACATGTATTTTGTTTCTCAAACTTATGATCTAGCACTTTAGCCACATCAACCTGAAACTAGGAATACCAAGACATATACTAGCTTCAACAATATACACTCGCCAACTCATTTGTAGTAGCTAGTCTCATAATAATGACCATTTATTCTCATCCAATCCCTATAAAAAAAAGAGCCTATATTGATATAAAAAGCCCACTCTCACCCTCCAAGCTCTGAGGGGGAAGTTGGAAAATCATGACGAATCTCACAAGTAAAATTTCAGATACATCTGAGGTTTCTAACAGTCCAGAAAATACAAAATAAAGAACAGGAGTTAAAATCTGATGTATGATTCCGCACCTGGTTACTGGCAGTGGTAGAAGTTGGAGTCTCCACTACCTCCTCTGTAGTTGAGAGTGTTGTGGTGATACCATTAGCAGTCTTATATATGTTAGACTCCATCTCTTTTCTGTCAACATCGCCTTTGTTGATTTGATTAGCCTTGAGTAAGTTCCTTCTCATCTTGCGCAACTCTTCCAACAATATGGTGTTTTCTCTTGCTAAAGAAGATAGCTGCAAATTTGGATTTTCATTATTCATGTAATGTTTGGAAAATGTCCGCATTGTACTTTTACGACAGAAAAGAGAAATTAATTTGCATACCTGCTTTTGAACCCTCGTTCTTTCAGTTTCCAGCTGCATAACCATGTCAGTAATAAGCTTTGCCCCGTCACTAATTTCCTTTGCCCTGGCTACTTTCATTTTGTTAGCAACTTTCAGACTTTCCACCAATTTTTCATTTTCGGACTTAAGATTGCCTTTTTCTTTGTTTAGTTCTATGTTGGTTTCTGCTAATTCTAGGCACTGCTTTTCTGCATTCTCTGCCTTACTCTCAGCTTTTGAGAACTTCGATTTTAGCTCCTCGATCAATGTTTCCATATCCCAGATTGCTGTGTACAGCATATTTTGCTGCTCTTGACTGGCATCAGCGAAAGTCTTTGAAGTTTGCAGTTTAACTTCCAACTCTCTCACCTTTTTCTCTAGAACAGTTATCTTCTCTTCGTTGCTATCACCAGCTTTAAGGAAAACCACTTCTTCTCTGAGCTCTACATTCTCTTCTGTTAAAGTGGCTAATTTCTCTTCTGCATCATGAGCCCTAGTTTCTGCCATAATAGCGTGTTCTCTTAAAGCTTCAGTAGCGTCTTCCATCTCCGAAAGTTGCTCCTGACTTGCTTCATAAGAGGCATTCACCTCTTGTAACTTTGACTCAGAAGCTTGCAGCTTCTTTTCAAGCTCTTCTATTTTCTGCTCCAACTTATCTTTCTTTTTCAGTTGTTCTAAGCTATTTTCAAGCTTGGATTTCAACTCCTCTTCTCTCTGAACTGAGCAATGCATATTAAACTCGTAGATTTGGAGTCTCGACATCATTTCCTTTGCAATCCCCATAAATACCTGGGAAGAATGTTCTACTTCTAACAGTCTCTCTAAAGCAACTCCTAAAAATGCTTCCATGCCCGAGGCAGCTTCATTTGTTAGTGAGAGTTCCGATTCCAGCTCTTCCTCCCGTTTTTTCAATTCTAGTAATCGTTTCTCAAGATTGAGTTCTGTAGCAAAAGATTTTTCCAACATGCTTAGCACAAGTCTTTGCTGCCCTGCATTCTGCAAATCATAATGTGACCTCTCCAGATCCTCGTGTTCAATCGAATATGCTGCAGATAATAGAGGATCTTGGTAAGTACAGAAATTTATAGTTTGACTCTAGTTTCTGTTTATAAAAATTTACTAACTTACTACTTTTCTCGCGAAAAGATGAGAGTGTTTTGTGAAATTTTGCCAATTGCCTCTTCAACTCTAAAAGTTGCTCCTGTAAATGCTTCCAGGAATTTTCAGAATCCTGCAATTTTCCTTGGAAGATAGTAAATATATCTCTTCTTAGTTTAAATAAACATATCTTCTGATGTGCATCATTGATCTTGGCTTGAAGGACTTCTAAGAAATTCCCCAACTTGGTGACCTCGGAATCTAGATATTCAAAAGAAAGATCAAAGATCAGAGCCTTCTCAATTTCTACTTCCGAGATTTTGCTGTTCTGCATGGACAACTCTCCAAGTCCGATCTCTCCAAGGGAAACAATTGTCATATAAAGATCTAAGTTTACCAGCTTCTCAGAAAAGTATGCTAAATCCAAGTCCAATGAAGTTAGCAACTCCATGAGCATAGTTGGTTCTATCAAACCATTTTCGCTAGTTGAAACTCCGTTGGATAGGGAGTTACAGGAAGATTTAGAATCAGCATCATCTACGCCATTGGATATACAAGCATCCATTCCAATAGGTTATTCTTCCTGTTTCACGAGACACCTACTGAGAAGGGCAGTTTAAAAAAAGCCTAATTGGTAATAACTACGAAGTACAAGTATAAAGTAGTACAAAATTTTTCTCAGTCATATTGCACAAACCAGGAAAAATGATATATTTGTACTAATCTAGATATGACAACAAACAACGTTTTGGATGCCAAGAAGTTTGGGTGGTACTCAAGACCTAGGAATAGGACTGAATCTTGTCAACAGCACTATTTTATGTGGCTTTTCATCGTTTGGGGGATTAGGAAGAGAAGGGACAGTAAACAAGTTCACTAGAATCACTACCTATTCCAACATCAAATAAATATAATAACATGAAGGGTCGACTTTAAATTTTCAATCAAATAGTGGATAATGTAGCATACATGACTCAATATATCGCTACTGCAGAAGATTATGACAATTTCAAGACCATTGAACAATTCATCACGATAAAAATGCTTAATCCACCATTCCACCTTACTACTTCAATCAACTAATAGTAGATAATGTAGCATACATGACTCGATTCGCTATTGTAGAAGATTATGCCAATTTTAATCCACCAGTGAACTAGTCAAAAGATGTTGCCAGATCAACCACTATTACCCTCAAGTCAAATATCTCTAAAAACTTCAAGCTGAATTCAACAAAGATTCCCAATCTCCCAAATCTTAGTCCATTCACAAACTTTACCCATATACTCCCACATTACAAAATTCATCAAACCAATTGACCACTCAATGCACCAAATTCAACACACAGCTATAAAACTTCGCCACGCTCGACTAGTCAACTTCTATGAGTCCATAGTTAAAAGAGAATGTCATCCAAAACACAGTCATAACCGTTATGAACTCGACAACCCTCATTCAAAAGCAGTATCAACTACAAATTCAATAGCTCAATTCTTCAAACTAGTCTCCCAACTAGTAAAATTAACCAATTCTACATCCTTTAGTCAAGTATCATCTCTACTAATTTCAGCTGAATTCATTAATTATGACATGCAACTCTCACAATTCATCTAATTTAACCCACCAAGAATAAAACATTCAAAATTAAATTAAATTTAACTCAATCCTAAGTTCAATATACATAATTCAGCCTACATAACCAATTATACCCCTTAAAATCATACATCTAAAAAAATTAAAACTTCATGCAAAAAAACTTGAGCAAAGAAAAAGTCAACTACCCATCAAAAATCAAGAACAAAAATTGCCAACCCAATTATACACATAAATAGAGCTAAAAAAAGCAATTAAAATACATGTAACACAACATTATAATAAGTATTAACAAGAATTAGTAATCAAAAAACATGAAGAGTGAAAACTAATCCATACCTTAAGAGAGAGAAAATGTTGATAAGCTTTTTTTTTCTTTTTTTTATTTTAAAAAATTAATTTTTGTAGCAAGAATGCTCTGTTTTTTGGTTGTTGTTTTTGTTTTTTTGGTTAAGTTTATCAGTCAGAGTCAATCACGGGGGTGAGTTCTAAAATGCGCCAAGAGTGCGCAGGATAGGATATTTAAGAGAGTTGAAAGTGGACCAGCAATGAAAGCGTTGGAAAAGTGCGCACGTTAGTGTAAAGCGTTGGGTAGTTGAATGATTCAACGAGTGGCGGGTGGGGTTGATCGTGGAGCGTATAAACTTGCTTGTGGACAAAGACAAAACGACCTAAGGTATGTAATTTAATGTTATTTAATTTAAATTTGATTATTTATATGAATTATATCATATGGTTTTAATGTAATTTAATATTGATTATCTATTTATATCATATGGTTTTTGTGGAATGTTGTTAATTTTATTATGGTAAAGGAGTTCACTTTATGTTCTTGAGGAGGGAAACTTGGGGTAGTGGAATTTAGAGTTCAGAGTCTTAAGACATAACTTTTACCTATTTTAATTTTAAGTTATACCTTCCATAATAAGCATTATATAACTTCTAAGAATGTCTAGTGTATTTTTGTGGTCCTATTTGAATTACAAGTAGCTGATTTGTCTAGTTTGTTAACTGATAATTTAATAGCATTAGTTAATTATGTGAATGAGTTAAGTGAATACTCCTTCTATCCCTTAAAGATTGTCCTATTCTCTTTTTGAAGTCATTTTCCTACTAAATGATTCATATCATAAGTATTTATGACAACTAGAAATTTTATAGTCATAAAAATAATTTTAGATCCCATCATTTTTCTTTCTCATCTCAATCAAAAGTTACGTAGTCATAAAGTAAAACATGGCTATGGGACAAACAATTGGAAACACAAGGAGTATATGTTAATTATTACCTACTTTATTAATATAATGAACAATGAGGATGTCATTGGAATAACATTTGGTGGAATCTTGATAAAGTGTAGTGTTTGACAAAGTCTAGGATAAGAATCATAGAATAGACGTATCACCATTGTAACATTACATACACAAACTACACTTTCAAATAGCTCTTCAAACTAACATTTTGGGCTCAAACCTTTCTCACAAATCACAATCCACTCTGAACCAGAACTCCCGCTAGAAATTTGGATTTGTCAAATACCTCTATAAGCTCTAAACTTTTCCCAATCACACACACCACCCGTTTTATAAGTATGTCAATATGTCATGAAGTTTGCAACATGAATTGCTTATGGAAGTACTTATCAGAATGATCGGCATAATTCCTTCTAAGTATTATTATCACAGATAATGTTGTTGGTGAATTGACTTAACGTTGCTTGAGTTATTTTAGTTACATTTGTTCATTCACCTGTTTTAATCACTTCCTTATGACAACTAAAAAAAGGGGTTTATATGACATAAATCGAGCCCTTTTTGATGCAAGTCATGCAACCATGTTAGTATTTACACTGAGAGTAAGATCATTTGATATTAGCCCACTAAACATAACTTGGAGTCTAACAAAGCCCAAGATCTTGACCCTACTATGTTGTACTATAGCTCATATGGCCTATCTAAGCCCAACTGCGCAAAGACGGAAGGACCTAAGTAACCAAATACGGAGCACTTGTTTTTTCGAATTTTTTTTTTTTGAAGTATTTTCCAACTTCATAGACTTCACTTCATTGATTTGTTGTGTTAGGAACATTGTTCATACGATCATACCACATTACCACGTAGTAGCAATATGCAAAAAAAAAAAAAAAAAAAAAAAAGAAATTAATTTTTTTTTGGTGCTCACGAAGGGCTAGGCCCCAAAAAGAAACAAAATTAATAAAATATTACGGAGGGATAAAACGTGACAAGGCCACCCCTACTACATCATTATGTAAAATATGACCTAAAACTGACTTGAATCGACTCAATTCGGTTGTTCTGATTGATTCCTTGGTTTGCAATATGCAAAATTGAATGATAGCATCTTCGATTCGGCCTCAAAGTAATCGAGAGTGACAGTTTTTTTTTTTTTTTTTAAATTTCATTAGATAAGTTTTAAAACCGAGATAATTTTTCTTTAATTAAAAAAAGAGTTTTAGTGTTGGACTTTTGAACTTTTAGAAACCATCTACTTCGCATATTTTGAGTCTCATCATTTTAGAGATTAAATTCAGTATACTACCAACAATGGACATGATCTGTTAAGCCTTATATAATGTATAGCTTATGGGTCAATGTTATAAAGTCCTAATCTCTTTTAGGTTGTATATATATACCTGTTCATACTCTAATACAACTATGGAAAATTAATTGGTGACGTGGTATCGGAGCCTCTATACTCTAAACCCTAAACACAATTCTACACTCTAACGCACTAAATATTTTTTTTCCCTAAATTTCTCTACCATACTGCTTGATCAATAATGGCGAATAATAAAATTGATCCCGCTTCCCCTTTTTATCTTGGTTCTGGTGATCAACCCGACAATTTGATTACTCACGTGATCTTGAAGGTGACGTGGTATCGGAGCCTCTATACTCTAAACCCTAAACACAATTCTACACTCTAACGCACTAAATATTTTTTTCCCCTAAATTTCTCTACCATACTGCTTGATCGATAATGGCGAATAATAAAATTGATCCCGCTTCCCCTTTTATCTTGGTTCTGGTGATCAACCCGGCAATTTGATTACTCAAGTGATCTTGAAGGGTGATAATTAGGTTTGTTGATGGCACCATCTCCAAACCAACTGAGAAGAAGAAGATGTTAGACTGTGAAACCGTGAATTCGATGTTGGTTTTTTGGATTTTGAAAGCTATTGAACCGAAATTAGCAGCCTCTATACCGTATTTTGAGGAAGCAAAGAAACTTTGGGTATACTTGGAGAAGCGTTTCTGTGAAGCTAATGGCCCTCGCTTGCAACAATTACATGTGGTTATCACCGGTTACGTTGTAAGCAATCGACCACCATGAGAATCAAGGACTATTACAATACTCTGATGGGGCTGTTTGATGATCTCAATCGCCTCAAACCTCCCCACAGGTGTGAGTGCGGCCTCTGCACTTGTAACGTGGCTGCCAAGTATAAGTTAGAAAAGGAGGAAGAAAAATTGCATCAATTTTAATTGGTGTTGATGATGATCGCTACGCTATGGTACGAACTAATTTGCTTTCTCAACAACCTCCCACTACTCTCGACCGAGCATTTCAAGCATTTCTTCAAGAAAAAAGATATCGGGGTATTGCTAAGGTCAAGGCTCAAACGGCGAAGGACGAATCTCACGTGTTCGCTCTTCCCCCTGATCGAAAGGCAGCTCAGTCAACGCCTCGTGTGGATAAATTGCGGCTCTTCTGCTCTCATTGCAAACATACTAGTCATGACAACTCTAGTTGTTTTATACTCCATGGCTACCCCCCATGGTGGCTGGAAAAATATGGTAAAAAGGGAGGGTGCCGCGTTTTCTGGTCAGGCTGCCTCGGTGCCTGGTAGCAGACCACCTGCTATTGCCGCTGCTTCTGCCTCGTCTTCTATTGCGGCTGCTGTGGATCACAGCAAGCCCACGGTCAGAGCTCATGCCGTGGGCAGCCCTCTTGGTGTTGCCTCTTCCGTGCCTTCCCCGGACACTCTTCGACTTTGTCTAAGCTCCAACCTAAGCATGTTCGTATTTTTGAATATGGTTAATAATAGGCAACAAGATAAGATGACCGGTGAGTGTTTTTCCTTGTCTTGGATAGTCGACATCGGCACCTCTCATCATGTTACCGGTGACGACTCTTGTTTAATGGATGTGCATTCTATATCTCCATGCCCCGTAGGTCTTCCGGATGGTGCCCATGCTATGACTACAAAGGAGGGTCGAGTGTGTTTGGCGGATGGCATTATTCTTGAAAATGTTTTATTTGTACCAAAATTAAATTGCAACTTAATATCGGTGTCAAAAATGATTGATGATTCACATTGTTTTGTCCGATTCACTGACTCTTTATGTGCTATACAAGACCAACACTCGAGGAGCCTGATTGGAGCCGATGAACAGATAGATGAACTCTACTAATTCCGCCGAATTCCTATAGTATGTGCCGTGACGAATCCAGAGGTTTCTACATTTGAGTTGTGGCATCGTCGTATGGGACATCCGTCAGACAAAATTGTCAAGTTAGTGCCTGCTATTAGTGCTAGTTCTAGTAGTAAATTTTTGAATAAAGCTTGTGAAATTTGTCCTCAAGCTAAACAATCACTGGATAGTTTCCCTGATAGTGATAGTAGAGCTAGTCATATTTTTGAAATGATACATTGTGATTTATGGGATTTGTATAAGACACCTTCTACTTGTGGTGCTCACTATTTTTTTTACTATTGTTGATGACTATTCTAGGTGTTTGAGTTTTTTTGTTGAATGGCAAAACTAAAATTTATTCTTCTTTTTGTTCTTTCTTTGCTATGATAAAATGTCAATTTGATGTCACTGTGAAATGTGTACGGAGTGATAATGGTACGGAATTCAAACCCATGCTACCCTATTTTAATGAACATGGCATTGTTTTTCAAACTTCTTGTGTTGGTACACCTTAAAAAAATGGTCGGGTAGAGCGTAAACACCGATATATTCTAAATGTTATTCGTGCTTTGATGTTCCAAGGTAATTTGTCAATTACTTTTTGGGGAGAATATGTCCTTAGGGCGGTTTATTTGATTAATCGTACTCCATCCTGCTTGCTAGCTAATAAAACCCCATATGAAATTATTTTTGGCAAACAACCTAATTTTAATGAATTACGGGTGTTTGGGTGTCTCTGTTTTGCTCATAATAAAAAAATCTAAGGGTGACAAATTTGCTCCTCGAAGTCGAAAGTGTGTGTTTGTGGGTTATCCTCATGGTCAGAAGGGTTGGAAGTTGTATGACTTAGAAACGGGTGATATTTTTGTCTCTCGTGATGTTAAATTTCATGAAAATGAATTCCCATTTGTGACTAGTAGTGACTCGACACATTCTCATGTAAGTGTCAAAGGAGTATCTAATGTTGATGGTGAGATTGACTTTGATTTCTTGGATGATCTTGAGCATGTGCTTGAGGTTGGTGAAACCTCTACTGAGCTGGGTTCACGGGAAAGCAGTGATCGCACCTTGCTTGACACCCCTAGCCCGAGTCCTACTGCTACCCCTACATCTGCTGCTACCCCGCTTCTCGATGCTGCTAGCAGCCTGGTTCGTGACACCCTTACGGCGACCAATGCTGACCGCAGATCACTTGTTGTATCTACTACCGCTGCTACTACTAGCGGTACAGGTAGTAGCACAGTGGATGATCCGAGCTCTTCTACTCTTGATTTGGGACGTGGTCAACGTCCAAAGCATCCTCCGGGCTGGCACCGTGATTATGTGGCACATACTGTTTCTCTCCCCGGTCCATATATCTCTCAACGTTCATCGTCTACTCCATGATCCTCAAGTACTCCTTATCCTTTAGCACATTTTGTGAATTGTGATGCATTTTTTGTGCGACACCGTGTATTTATTGCAGTTGTCGACACGGTGGTTGAGCCACGTAATTTCAAGGAGGCTATGCAAGATGAGGGGTGGAGAAAGGCGGTGCAAAACGAAATATCTGCCTTGGAAAATAATGGTACATGGGTGATGGAAAAATTACCTCTAGGTAAGAAAGCTCTTGGATGCTAATGGGTTTACAAGGTCAAGCTTATCTCAGATGGCTCGATTGAAAGATTGAAGGCTCGTCTCGTGATTTTTGGTAACCATCAGGTTGAGGGTACCGATTATAACGAGACATTTGGTCTCGTTGCTAAAATGGTTACTGTTCATGCAGTTCTTGCTGTTGCTACTGCGAAAAATTGGGAATTACACCAAATGGATGTCCACAAGGCTTTTCAACATGGCAATCTTGATGAGGAGGTTTATATGAAGCCTCCTCCCGGGTTTCATGGTTCTTAATCTGGCATGGTGTGCCGTCTTCAGAAATCTTTGTGTGGACTACGACAAGCACCTCGTTGTTGGTTTTCAAAATTGGCCACCTCTCTGAAAAGGTAAGGATTTTCGCAATCGTACTCTGATTACTCTCTCTTTACTCTGAATCATGGGGCTATTCATCTTAGTGTTATGGTGTATGTTGATGATTTAATAATTTCAGGGAATGGTTCTTCTGCAATTTCAACATTCAAATCATATTTGAGTGACTGTTTTCATATGAAAGATTTGGGTGTGTTGAAGTACTTTCTTGGTATTGAGGTTGCTCAGAGCCCGAAAGGCTTATTTTTATGTCAACGGAAATATACTCTTGATATTATTGTAGAGTCTGGTTTGCTAGGGGCACGTCCGGCAGGTACCCCTATTGAGCAAAATCATACTTTGGCTAAATCAGAGACTCCTCTTATTGCAGACCCCAAAATGTATCGACGTCTTGTGGGTTGTTTGATTTATTTGTCTTTCACTAGACCCGATTTGGCTTATACAGTTCATATCTTGTCTCAATTTATGCAACAACCTCGACAAGACCATTGGGAGGCAGCACTTCGTACGGTTCGCTACTTGAAAGGATGTCCAAGTCAAGGAATCCTTTTGAGTTCAGATTGCTATTTACATTTGACAGGTTGGTGTGACTCGAATTAGGCTAGTTGCTCTTTAACGAGACGAACGATTTCTGGTTGGTTGGTGTTTTTGGTGGTTCCCCTATTTCTTGGAAGACTAAGAAACAACATACTGTCTCTAAGTCTTCTGCAGAGGCAAAGTATCGTTTGATGTCTAAAATAACTGATGAGTTAAAATGGTTGAAGGCTCTACTCAACAGTTTGGGAATTTCGCATCCACGTGCGATGAGCTTGTTTTGTGATAGTCAATCAGCGTTATATATTGCGCAAAATCCGGTCTTCCATGAACGCACTAAGCATATTGAAGTTGATTGTCATTATGTTAGGGACGCAATACAGGAAGGGGTTATTAGTCCATCATATGTGAAGACAACGGATCAACTAGCGGATATTTTCACTAAAGTATTGAGCAAAAACCAATTCTTGTATTTACTTGGCAAGTTGGGGATTTGTGATTTGCATGCTCCAACTTGAGGGGGGGTGTTAAGCCTTATGTAGTATACAGCTTATGGGCCAATGTTATAAAGCCCTAATCTCTTTTAGGCTGTATATATATATATACACCTATTCATACACTAATACAACTATGGAAAATTAATTCGTGACATGATCTTATGTAAGAAAACTAGAAGCAAGTCACCCTATGAGTTTCTTATTTGTCCGAAATTAATAAGGTTGTTGATTTGTTAAGCATTTCCAATAAAAGCTCAAATAGAGGCTCAAGGGGAGAAAAGAGTGTTTGAATGAGTTAGTAATAAAGAAAACAATTATTAATTTTGAAAAAAAAAAAAAAAAAATTCAAAAGTTCTTCATGCAAATATCGAAATTTTTTATGACTATTAGTGGTTGTCAAAAAAAAAAAAAAAAAAAAAAGGTAATAAAACAATAAAAAGAAACAAAACATATACATCAATGATTAGTTTGGTTTGAAATTTCTCTCGGGCTTTGGTGGATAGTTGAATCTTTAATGTATAAATCAAGACTAAAAACAAAAGATACATCAATGAGCTAAACTATGCCTAGGACCTCTCACCTTTGGTATTACTGTACTCATGTATGTTTTCTCCATCTACTAAATTGATGCAAATAAGGGAATGCAATAGTAGTCAAGTACCATCAAAATAGGTTTCTCCTTTTCAATGTCTCAAAACAAATGCACATAGGTGTGGAGGGACTATAATTAGAGACATGCCTATACCTTTACTTTTTTATTTTCTTTTGGAAAAAGGTTAGGGGTTGATATATAACTCTTAGTGCTTGACTATCATTATAAAAAAGAATCATTGAAAGCGGTATAGAACTTTTTATATATTGGAATATTACAATGTTATTTGGTTGACAAAAACATAGGAAGTTATGGTTCTAGGAAATT